TCAAAAAAATATAAACGTAAAAAGGGTACAGTTTGTCTCCATTTATCCTTGAGAAGCAGTGATAATTTTTTTTTCGGTCTATTTAAGAATCACTCTGTAGTATACAATATTTTTATTCATTATCATTACGCTTGCGAACACCATGCGTTCATAAAGCGATGACCATTCATAAAAATATTCGACAATTTTTGAATACTTGTATTAAAACTGACTGTTATTTCATAATATTGCACAACTATACGTATAAAAATCACCCTGAATTAAATATAAATTTTGGTGAAAAAGTTTTAAACAGTGTCACACTTCTCCCAAAGATATCAAGGTTTACTGCCACTTCATTGAATGGATTTATCTACAATCCTAGGCAAACGAGAGCCCTTGCCAAAATTGTTTAAATAAAATAACAGCATTTAAAATTTTTGTAAACATCTGCCAATTTTTTTGAGTTTTAAGTTAGTGAGTTAGTATATTAAACTACAAATGTTACAAACTCTCATTGTCCTACGAGTAGTTTAATGGACGAATATCAAAATGGGAGGTTGTAACACCTGTTTTTTATACTATTTTTTCTATTGAGCGGTTTTTAAATTGAATTTATTAGTATACAGTGATTTTTAAATAGACCGACAAAATTTTATCACAGCTTCCTAAGGATAAATGAAGACAAACTGTACCCTTTTTACGTTTATATTTTTTTGGGGGCAAAACCCCCTTGATCCGTGCCACTTACGGTGTTTATGAATTGTTGCAATGATCAACTAACTACATTTTCATCACATTAATATCATGGTTTCCACTACCTGTGCTAACACATCAGTGGCGTACGCTTTACTTCGAAAATAACTTTAATAATCGATCAAAGTCATTAGATCAGGTGAACGTTTTTCTCAATGTGTCATTCGAGAAATAGAGCCGTTTGGTGGCGGCTCCATTATGGTATGGGGAGGTATAATTCTTGAAGACCGCACAAATCTGATCATCGTCGACAGAAGGTCAATGACTGCTTTAAGATATAGAGATAAGGTTATAATCCCCATTGTGGAACCATATGCTGCTCTACATGGTGCAGAATTTATTTTAATGCATGACAACGCCCGACCACACATTGCAAATATTGTAAGACAAGAGCTTACCGCAGCAGGTATGAATGTTTTAGAGTGGCCACCTAGAAGTCCGGATCTCAATCCAATTGAACATGTTTGGGACAAGCTAGGAAGAAAAATGAATTTCCTCCTAGGACATTACAACAAGTCTCTTTAATATTGCAAGAAATTTGGGCCATAATACAACAAGAGGAAATTGCTACTCTAATTCAAAGCATGCCACAAAGAATTAGAGCTTGTATAAGAGCAAGAGGCGCGGTCATACACGTTATTGGTATTTTTTTTTTAGTAAAATGTAAGGTTTTCTGTTTTATGAACATTTGCTTAAAAATAAATTAAGTATAAGTAAATGAATTCGTAAAAAAACATTTTTTGATGATATCAGACAATGTAGTGCCACATTCAAACGTACTTTTTTCAAAATACTAAATTTAGTTTATATCCCTTAATTTTGGGGCGAAGTAGGTACATACTTTATAGAACACATTTTAAGTAAGCTATTTTTCTTGGTAGTATGGTAATTTATTATTGTTATTATTAACTGATACCAGATTTAGGAGTATAAATTTAAAACATCATTGTTCATTCATTATTCATTGCTTGTTTGGTATAATTGTGTATTAAATACAAAACTATTGTTGATTCCCCACTTGTTTTTAGAAGCAAACAGCAAATTCGCAATTCTTTAATTCTAAAAACAGCTAAGCTCCAAATTATATCCAACCTATTTCTTTACAAAATAAAAATACAATTTTACAAAACTACAGGATTAACACGATAATTTTAAACAGTTACAAACTAATTAACGCTGCCGGTTTGTAAACGTGTCTACAGGAGTTTACTTTTACGATGAACTAAAGAAAACAGCCAACCCTTTTAATTAATTTATTATGACACCACCTGTCAGTAATAATAAAGTGTGTTTTGTTAATTGCTTTATATTATGATTTATACAGGCTGGATTGTAAAAACGCTTCAACCCATAATTTCATTACTTCTAAGACGTTACAATACTTTTTTAATCAAAGTTCAACAATTTTTTGTTATCGGTCATTCGCTTGTCTTAAATAAAATGAATAAAAATGTTCTATTCTTTCCACAACCTTCTTTATTTAATATAATTTTTAAATTGCCTAAAAGCAAAACTCAAATAAATACTAGTTAGTGAGCTTGTTGAACGACAATTTAACGAGGATCCAAAAATAATAAAATATACAAAGTGTTCCATTTAAAGAACTAAAATTGATGTCATTTCCGGTAAAACAGGAAACAACATTGATTAAGCAGTTATCCCAAACAACAGATGACGATAAACTGTGCAAGTTTGTTCTAAGAAGTATTGCCATATTTTTAAAAATAATGGAGTTATGGCTTAAGGCGTTTTTCATAATCTAGTCGTATACAGGCTGTCTTCAAAGAAAACCGCCACACGTCAACCACTGATATAAAATGTCATTCTGAGAAAGAAAGTTATTTTTTTTTCTATCTTAGCAAAGAGTAAACAGTAACAATAAATTTTCTACAAATGACATCACATAAAGCACTTGCTTAGCTTCAAGTTTCATTTAATTGAAGCAATGAAAGGCATTTTAAGCATTTTTGACAATGATAAATTTTGACATTGAGTTGCTAGAGCCACTAGATGATTTAATTTTTTCAATTTTTCAGTTCTACAAAGAATTCGACTAAGAATTTTGGTAAGTTTCTACCCTTTTATACGTTAAACCCTTTTATACGTTTTTGAAATTTCTTTTTTCTACATTTATAGATCAGGCACTGATGAAGAGACGGTGTTTTCGAAAGCGCTTTGTCACCTCCATGTAAATTCAACTTTGAGATTGACACAATCTTATTTACCTTTCGTTATTAAAAAAACCCACTTTGGGAATAAGGATCTTTCCACTAAATGTAATTTTTGTAGTAATTATGTCTTTATTAATTTTTTATTTTTTTCAGTTATAGTATATTATGTTATTGAGTATTATGTGACGAAGCTGAACGTTTATTTTGCCGAACGGAGTGAGCAAATGATTCAGCTGAGCCAAATAAGCTGACTTTTACTCCAAATAACATATACTATTTCATCCACAAACGTATTCAGATCGAGAGTAAAAAGAACACAATAATTATGAAGTAAATGAACAAAATAATCAGGTTGCTTTGCAATGAAAACATAACAAACGTCACGCGTCAGTATCGGAATTTGTGTTGACATTTTCGAAAGAGTTTATTGATTTTAGTGAATGACTAGTAGTGTTGGCAGTGCACAATGCCGAATGCTGATAATCTACAATGTATGTACCTCTCCAGAAAATGCTGAAGCAGCCATGGAAACAAGAAAGAGACACCAGTGGTAAATGTCCTAGTAAATGTCAAGAAAAAGTGAAAAACAGTGAAAACACAGTGTCTGAAAGGTAAAACTTTTACTTGTGTCATTTAGTGAGTTTTCTGACGTTTACGGATAATTTTTTTTTCCACGGCCGTATACGAAAGTAATTGTTTCCATACAGCGAATTATCTACGAAAGTTGACGATAACGACGAATCCATTATTCTCTTAACCACACGTGTGCAAATATCAAAATAACGTAAGAGGTTGTGCGATTGGCGGAGAGCCCGCGTCTGTTACCTTAATTAAGTAAATACTTAGTACTAATACACACCTAATTTATTACTGCCGTTGTTAGAACTTTTACAGAAAAATTAAATCGTTTCTTTGAAAATAGTGGTGTTTTTTCGTGGTATTGCGGGGGTCGTGGGAAAAATTGTGTATATAACTCACTGTATTAATTTATCACAACCAAGTTGTACAAAATTCATTGTTACTTTTTGCTAAACTCTAACTCTTTAATAATAATTTATTATGATTGAAGATAGAGAAAAAAATGTTTTTCTCAGAATGGCATTTTCCATCACAGCTTGACGTATAGCGGTTTACTTTCGGGACATTCTGTATAATATTATGAAATAAAATACATCTAGCAAAAAAATTAGCTATTTAAGTAAACATTTTTTCCTACGATTATGTACGAAACTAGATCATAACGCACAATTACATATGCGCGAAAATTGGCAATATCGTACGAGGTCAGAAACCTGTGCGATTTGTTTTCGCGCTGTGTGTTAGGAATCTAACGCACAATTCACACTCAAATGTTTTGTATTTTTTTCATTTAACGTATTTTTTTTTGTATCCATTATAAAAATTAATCGTTATTCAACGTATTTTTGTATCCATTATAAAAAATAGATCGTTATGAAAAAAAATATGTTAGTAAGAAAAAAAATATTTATGGTCGTAGGAAAAATAGTGTACAAAACATGCAGGAAAGTGTCTAACGCACTCGCGGTATTGCCTGCACTCGGCTGACGCCTCGTGCGCAACTTTCCCGCTTGTGCGTTATTTATCACTTTCCGTGCTCGTTATGTAATATACTATTAATAAAAACATGTAGCACCTAGATATAAGATTAAAACAAATCAATCTTGCATCAAACAAATTAACATTAACGATGAAATATCATATAGGTAACAAGTAACACGAGAAAAACATTTAATTTTAAAACAGTCTTGAAAATAATATTTGGCTTCAATAAACTTCATGTCAAAAAGGCGTTTTGTCGCTCAAGGAAATCGAATTTTCACACGCAAATCTAAAAATATTGCGGTGTCATAATAAAAAAAAAACTGTAATTTTTGTATCTTTTGGTTTCGTAGACAAAACTATCTCAACGGATTACGTAATCTCCCAGCGCCTCCGCCGTTAACGCACACTTTCTCCTATAAGCATCGGAACATTCCAGAGGTCACCAGTAGCTCAACCGATCGTAAATAAGCATTAAGCAGTATAACATGTAGCCCTTCGGCATCAGATCAAGGTTGCTACTAAATCACTCACCAAACTCCTGAGTCCTGGCAGAAATCCGCTATGTCCTCTCGCCCACAACACTGGAATGCCGGCGTGTTTAGCCGTCAGCGAAACGGTGAAGGCCGCAGGGGAATCACCGAGAATCAGTACAGCAACGACGTGTTTCCCTTCGAATTGGTTGCACAAATTCCGGAGAAGAGCTGCACTGAAACTTCCGTTTTCCGGAAGTTCGATAACGAGCGTCTCCAGTGTAAAATTGAAGGTGTCTTTGTGCACTTTTGTGGTCAAATAAGACTGAGTGATGTTCAGGAGAGTCTTGTTAAATGCCCTGCTGTACGTCTGGCCGCTGGGAGAAGCAGCGATGGCGAAGTACAGCCGCCCCGGCCGAAAATTGGCGAAGTCGTTAACCATCTTATTGTCATCCTCATAACCGCTGACGTGAACCAAGAGCAGAGCGAACTGGAAGAGGATAACCTTGTAGAAAGAGTCGTCGAAGCGTAGATTCAAGACCATCTTTCTAGGTTTAGGGGTGAGGAGTTGAAAGGGGGGCGGTTTACACGGTCATGCTTTCGGTGAAGTCGACTGGGAGATATTGCAATTTTTTACGATATTACGACCCATTATCGTGTCCAAATCGATGATCAGAATCAATTTTTTCGACATGATTAGAATAACTTTCTAATTTTGACCTGGTTTGTATTGCTTTGGTTACTTGGGTAAGGCTGAATTTTTCTTCTGTGTTTGATATTTGACTGGTTTTACTTGAATTTCACTTTATTGAATTTAGGTTTGCTCCATTTGAATGGAATCATGTTTTCAAGCGGTGTCTCCTTTGCTTCAGCCCCATCGTCTGAAATCGAAACCAAAATATTATGAACAACACACCTACAAAGGAAATGCATTTGATCGAACATTTATTCGGTTCAGTAAATCTGAAAACACATCTCAAGCTTTCCCGATTTTGTTCTTATATTACTTAATAATACTTAATACTTAATACAAGTACTCAATCAATAGTATTAAAAATAATTTCAAACAACGTTCAATAAAATTGGAGATCAAAAAAAACAAAAATACTTATCACATCAAAAGCTGTATTTTATAGGGACATCAAAGGTAAATGTGTATAACACGTGGGAACATAAAATAATAGTATATTATTTAACAAGCACATAATGAAGGTTATAATTTAAGAGGATGAAGTTTATACACGAGCCAACGATATGGGCCCAACAGTACTTTGCCGATGCAACTTGGACATTTTAATAAAACTCCGCACACAAGGCAAAAATGACCCAAAACTGGAGCAAGGCCCATTTTCTTGACCACATCTGCGAAATGGTCGCTTTGTTCGTCCGATCTTACTTCGATGGACTACAGCGTGTGGTCAATTTTGGAGGTCAGAGTCTGCGCCAAACGTCACAAAAGTCATCGCCATCGGCCCAACGTTTAAAATTTCAATAAATGTTTGGAGCTCTGCATTGCCGYAAAGGGAAGCGGAAACTGTGATGGAAATAAAACTTCATTTAACAATTGATAAAAAATATCAGGTTTAGGTTGATTTATCTTATCATATGAAATTTAAAATGAGAGTTTAGGTTGGAAAATAGCCACTTTCTAACCCAAAAACTGACAAAGAAATGGCCACTTCGCATTATGAATTCTCATATGTCATGTTTTTCAATTTTGGATAAATTCTTTATTTGTTTTCTGTTCTTTATAAGGAGGATGATTGTGAATAAAATAGTATACAAACCTTGGTGGTCGTTGCTTCATTGTTCTCGGCTTATTGCTAGCCGGTGCGCTTTGCGCCTTGTCTATCAAGTTTTGCCTTGGTAATGAAGTATCTCCCACTTCGGTATGTAATCTACTATTATTTATTTATTACCTATTGGAAAAATAGCTATTGTGCTAAGTGTAATACTCTTATTTACTTTGTCGAAGTTTGTTGTTTGAGAATTAATTACCTACCACTACATTATTATTCTACATATTAAGTTTACATATTAAAAGACACATTTTCGCCCTTTTCACCCGTCAAAATTTTCTGACTACAACAATCACCAACGTTTTGGTTACGTAATTGAGAGGAACAAATTGTGAGATCACCACGTAAAAATCTATCTATATTTTTTTTTTACAGAAATAGGTTTTAAATAAATTTAAACCGGCCCCGCTTTTGTAGGCACAAGGTTTATAAAAAACTGTAACCAGTTTTGGCAATTTTTCGCCAAGACGATAACATATTGTTTATCAAATCTATTGGCGAACCCTAATTTGATCCTTTATCTCAAGAACGCACCTGATAGTTTTTCCAAAAACTATCCTAAATTGGTACACTACGAAATCCTTACATCAACACGAGCTCAAACTGGCCCATCTTAAAACTATTTCTTGCAGAAGGAGTTTCCATATTTTTGCCGCCACCATACATATGTTTTCTTTTTGTTCATGGGATTAAGTATCAGCAATCAGGAAATTGATAAAACGCAATGGGAAGATACAGTGCTATCTCCCTGTACAATAATATTTCCAAGAAATCTCATTTTAGATAGGTCGTTAATGGCTCTGACAATTTCCTAATGTTCACACAAGCTAACAATCTGAGAAAAAACGGGATCAGTATCGGAAAACTTTCCCCCCGATAAAAATAAATTCTCTCCTCTTTAACGTTCTAACAAGTATTCCTCGTTCCATATTTGTTATTTCTACACCCTCTCAGAAAACTTGGCGGCCATACCTGAAAATTGGCAGGAAGACTTATAAAATAATCATGTTGACAAAAGGGTTGTAGAACTTTATACCCTTTGTTAAGTTCTTCTCGAAAATTAGCAACAAAAGTAAGTCCGGAAGGACCATTCTATCGGCTGTCATAAAACTTATTTATTTAATTAACTGTTTATATGCCACCACTCTCTTTTAAAGCAGTTGGCCTGAATCTGTAGTTTCAAAATTGAGAAGCGATAAGGAATCTGAAATGTGCGATTTTTTATGATGGCACAAATAAAGTCGGCTCGATGAAATTTTAATTCTTTTATCTACTCGGTTTTAGAGGGAATTTATAAAAAGCAAACTGAGGGAAGTCCTTCGTCTGCAAATATTTGAGAATCCGTCATCTAATAAGGCGGGTGCATTCGTAAGCCAAAAATCTCATCACAAATTCGTTTCTTCCATCCACAGTCGTTTCTTGCATTATCGATTTAGTGGAGCTGCCGGAGGAGAAAGAATTTACGTTAGTTTTTTTAAGTGACACATTTTAACATGTAATAAACATTTTCCGTAAAAATTAAATTCATGCAATTTTTAAACAAAATTATGGTATACCTACTATAGTTGTCAAAATATAACTTGATCAATGCCCCGCCCTTACGTGATTCCAATGAAAAGCTGTAATCAAAGGGAGCGTAACTTACACTGTTACATTTTTGAAATGTCATATTGAAATTTTGTGTTTTCTACACACTGAACACAATTTATAAAAGCCCAATTTGTAACATAAAACAACGGAAAAAATTGTTCAGCGCATTTTTTTCTCCCATAAGATTGATTGCTAACAATTAACAAATGGGCGAAACATTCATCTTCTTACATTTTATGGACTATAGTATCTCCTTGAAACTAGTAATAGAAGTGAGCAAATTTTATAGACGCTCGTTTCTTATTGGTGCATCAGAGCTTGAGAGATCGACTGCTAGAATCGCTGAAGTGATCTATGTAACTGTTTGTGCAATTTCTTTAAGTAATTGTATTTTAATGACTTAAGTCTTAAAGTGTTTGTTTTTGATCTGGCATTTGTCCAAACACGGGAAAAATACTTTTTATTTTCTTCATTATAATGATTGAGTTGTAGCGATGTAAACTGAAAGTTAGGAAGAAAAATATTACAATAATACAGGGACATTTGTTTAATTATAGCCTTCTTTTCAGTTTAAAAAAACACAGAACAAAACATTGCTACCATTATTGAATGGCAGCATTGCAATGATCTATCATTGGATAGTCTCAGTAGCGTGTCTATAGTTTAAGAGCAACGAAATAGAAAATTGTTTTATTTAAATGAAGATGACAACCTAAACAGAAAATTTACAGACAGATAGAACTTTAAATGCTTTACAGTAGGAAATGAAGATATAGCAAAAATTTTGCTAAAAACCGTAGTTTAAAATAATAAACAGAACAGAAATTTTTGCTTTCTCCTCATGTTTTTAACCCTTTTTGCATATACGATTAAAAATAGAAAAAAAGTGTAAAGGACAGGGTTGTAGAGAACTAAATTTGCTTTAAAAAGTCCGCGACACCCTATCTCTATAAATTTAATGGTTTAGATTTAAATAGTTTTCTAGACATGCACCACCGGTACAAGGGAAATGTTTCGTCACTAGAGTATTTTTGACCGTTGTAGGGCTGAAATAGTGAAAAATAGAGGCATGGTGTCGCGAAATTTTTTTAAAGGAAATTTAATTCTCTACAACTTTGTCCTTTTCTGTCTTTAATCATAAGCGCAGTGTTTTCAAAGAAAATTAAAATATGAGGCAGAGCAAAAATTTCTGTTTTGTTCATTATTTAAAATTATGGTTTTCAGCAAACTTTTTGGTATATTTTCATTACTTACGGCGAAGTATTTAATATTCTATCTACCTGTAACTTTTTGTTAATTAAAGCATTTTTTTATTTCGTTTCTCTTAAATTGCAGACCATTGATTGATCTGTGTTTTTTAAACTGAACATAGGGCTATATCCAGAGTTAAAAAAATGTCTCTGTACAAAATAGAAAGATTTTTCTTTGTTGTCGACACAATTATCTATTCCTGAAATTTATATTTAACAAGACAAATATTTTATATCGAGCGATCAAGATAATTTGTAATCGCGTCACCGTTGCATCCGAGAACGTATGTCTAACTGCACGTGAAACGTCAAATAAAATGACAAGCCAAATGGTAAAACGGCAAAATGGGCTGGAATTAGTCGCCGACGTATAATAATACGAGTAGGGCCGCTCTTTTTTGAAGGTAAATTATAAATTTAGTTATTATAATCATCAACTTTTTGATCATGCCATTTTATTTTTCGACTTGTCATTTTACTTGACATTTTACAGACATACGTTTTCGAATACAAGGTTGACTCGATTACAAATTATCTTGATCGCTCGATATATTTAATGCATAAAATAAATTTAGCATGAGCTTTCAAATTAATAAAAAAATCCAATAAATGAACGGTATCTTTCTTTTAAAATATTTATAATGTTTTCAATAACTGCATTACTTTCACTGACAATTTTTCTAAGATAATTCTTATAAATCAAATTATAAGCAAGGTTATATACCTACTAGGTGAATAAAAAGTATGGAACCAATCGTTTCTTGCTTAAACTATTTATTTTTTGAAAAAACTAATTGATGAGTGATAAAGTAGGTACTATAAAAATGTGATGATTTAACAAGAATAAAATTTTTCGAAATTTTCTTTTGTTTTTGAGTTCTACAAAAAAAAATATTTTTTTTAAATGGCAACCCACTATAAAATCATTTTTCTCATAAAAACTATACTCTAAGGATTACAACTATTTGCTTTATATTTAATTAAAAAAAAATTTTTTTCCACATAAATTGCAATTTTGACAAAAAAAATCGCGTAACTCATAAACATAACAAAATTTCGTTCTGAAAATACGATCACATATTTTATATTACTCTAATTTATATTAATTATTATTTTCTGGAGGCAAATGATCAAAAATAAAACCGCTTGGTTCCATACTTTATATTCACTCTGTATGTGATTTAATACAAAAAGTTTCTTACACTAATTGCTCTTGTCATTTTAACAGTTACCTACGAATTTCAGTCCTTTAAAAAGCGATATGTACCTACTAATTATAAATGTCGGTGTGTATTCAAATAAATTATAACACTAACTCCTGAGGCTTTCATATAGTCTGCAATATCGATTAGCAAATGGTGGATTTTCGGGGCAATCATAGGGCTTTTTCAAAAAGGGCGGGTCGAAATTTTCATATAATAACTGCAAAGATAAATAAAACGAATTGTTTTGTAAGAATTTCTTTAAAAACTACAATTTTATCACGTTAGTTGGTTTTCTCATGTTTTTAATTTTGTTTCTTTTACGTTGCAAAATGTTAGTTTTTTAAATATTTCATATCTTTTCGAAGCCAGGGAAACTTTGTTGTTGTATGTCAATTTAATTAAAGCTCGGCAATTGTTTCATGCGTACCACACCCACAAAACTTCCGATAATGCCCCAGTGTGAATTTCACGCAAATTTTATGAACTTCCCCTCTTACCTTAAAAACCTCCGGAAATCGCCACTTCATATCCTGTTCCGCATCTCGGTAATCCCGGTCCTCACAAGCGCAACATCCGCAAGACGTCGAAAGCCTTCAGGAAAAATCGCCCGGAAAAAACTCGTCCCGTTTTCAGCGATTTGTTCGATTTTGCGGCACGTTTACTACGGTCCGTCACGGCCGACTTCGATGATCGGGTTGCAGAATTCGGGCCACGGCACACTTGATTCTCGCGGCACGGAATAAGCAACGGGCCCCTGTCGGATGACGGCGGTGCGCATGCTCTTCGGCCGAATCGATGGGACCCATCCCTTAACACGAGACGTGATTTTTCTTTTGTTTTTGCGTTTTGCATCATCACGACCATGACTCCGCCACTGTTGGGGCACAAATGTGATATTGAGGCCGAAGACGCGATGGGGCCTTCGAGAGACGACGCCCTTCGGGGCGCTGGCGCGCCGAGACCACCGACGTTTCTCCTGCCAAGGGTTCAGCTTGATTTTTCGCATAACGAAGTTTAGGGACGACGGGATTTACTATCCGCCCGGAATTACCGGAGTCAACTTGGACATCGATGTTTTCGAATTTCTTTTAAAAACTTGATCAAGGATTCCATAAGAAGTTTAATTTTAAAAGTTAGGAAGGAGGTATGTGAGAAACTTTATAACAAATATACTGACAAAACCTATACAATAAAGGGAAACATTACTTCTTTTTAAGCGAGTCTTCATCCAAAATAATTCGAAAAGTCTACGTTTTTTGACACATAATTCTTCGCGTATCCTTGAAATAAGCTTAGCTTTTGAGAAATAAAAACACTGAATATTCAGTTTTAAGACAAAAGTTTCCTATGAACATGTATCAAAAAATCTTACGTAAGCGAGCTACACCCCCTAAAAGAGATGCGTTTTTAATAGGGTTTTCCCACTATTGCAGAATAGATAAAATTACAAGAGTTGGTTCAGCTGATTACTTTTAAACACCTAAATGAATTTAAAGATCAGTTGTCGAAATTTTTAATCACGGGTTTCTTAAATGGTGATACAAATTTAATTTTTAATTTTTATCTTCTTTATGGTCTGTAAGACAAATTGTAAACTGATTTTACACCAAAACGGTAAGTTTTATCGAAAAAACGCAAGAGACCTCTTTGTTGTGAAAAACTATGAAATTTAGAATTTTGTGGCTGAAACTGGCAAAAACCAACTGCCAAAATAGTTAGGGTTTAGGACGTCCCTGAGTAAAAAATTTCAACATTTTATCTTTGAATTCATTTGGGTGTATAAAGGTTATCAGTTGTACCAAATGTTGTTATTTTATCCACGATGGTTTCTGAAATATTGGAAAAAATCTATTTCTATTCAAGGGATGTGGCTCCCTTATACAGGGTGCGCCAGAACTCGCGCCCCAGAGAAAAATGTCATATAAAGTAAGATACCAGTAACATGGAAAAAATGTTAAAAAAAAATTATCCATAAAAATTACGAAGTTATGAGGGTTTAAAGTTTACACTTTGACTCTATTTATTTATGTTGGAAAAATAATTTTCCAAGTTTTTTTGCTATAGGCTATTAAAAGAGGAAACAAGTAAGCTGTATCCTAAATTGTAACTCTGTTCAATGTCATTTGTGGCTTTTATTGTCAAAATTGTTGTTCCTTTACTAAATAATTGTAAAAAAAAACATATACAAGATCATCAGTATCATTAAATAGATATAAAAAAATGTCAAATGTCAAAAAATAAATGTCAAAATTTTTTGACAGATTGAATTTTTTAAACATTTTTTTCATGTTCCTGGTGTCTTATTTTACTTGAAACTTGTCTCTGGGGCGTGAGTTTTGGCGCATCCTGTATACATTTTTTCGATTTATCGCGTGTTTCAAAAATGTGTGGCATAATTTTACCCACGAATACCCCTCTATAAATGAGAATAGTGAGCACAGTATTTACTGACCTAACTCAAAAAATAGAAAAATTACAGCTTTACAAAAATCGGTATGGAAAATCATTTTTTTGGGAAATATTTTTGTTATCGTTTATCCAATTATTATGAAACTTTGCATGTCAAGGGACAAAAAGACACTATGGTGTAAACGGAAGTCTTGTAAAAGCTATAGATTTCCGGTGACATTGGGACCCTTCCAGTTTTTGGCCCGAAAATTTAATGCTTATGGAAAGGCCGTATACGCTAGTATGAATGGAGTCGGCGATGTTGGTTCTTGACGTTCTTGTAATTTAAAAAAAATGTAGATAAACATTAAACGTGCCTTATTCTTTACAAGCTTTAACTACAACAAATTACCATATTATGCTACTTCAAATGGATTGCAAGGTTATTTTTGTAATTATTACAGTTTCAGTATTTTAAAGTTGAGGTTATGTTCTTGGTTTGGTCGTTTTAATGTTTCATTTGGTTTATAGTTTAATAATGCAAATAATGAAATACAAAGAAAAAACAACAATTTGGAGGGAAAATAGTTTTACGGTGTGAAAATTTCCGTGGTGTATTCTCAGATCATGTTGTGATGGCCGGGATGGTTAATGCCAGCTTATGCATTGTTTCTTCCAACACATAATCGTGTGTTTTACTATGATCATCAAGAAATAATCAAATTTTACTTTGGATGAAATAAAATTGACATTAGATGTCACAGCATTGACAGCTATGTCATTCGTAGTGGATTGTTTCCAAGGTAAGGATACGCTCAAAATTCATACTTTTTGATTTTGCAGCGCGGTGTAGAGTTTTGTTTAAACCGAAATAACTCGAGAACGGTACATTTTACCGATATTATCAAGAGTACTTTTTTATGAAAAAATGATCGGGCTTTTGATTTTTGGCATCAAAAATATTTGTTAATAGGCTGAAAAAAAGAGTTATGATCCAAAAACTGGAAGGGTCCCTTTGTCACCAGAAATCTTTAGCTTTTACAAGACTTCCGTTTACACCGTATCAAAGAGTGTCTTTTTGTCCCTTGACATGCAAAGTTTCATAATAATCGGATAAACGATAACAAAAATATTTCCAAAAAATCATTTTCCATACCGATTTTTGGAAAGCTGTAATTTTTCTATTTTTTGAGTTAGGTCAATAAATTCTGTGCTCTCTATTCTCATTTGTAAAGGGGTATTCGTGGTTAAAATTATGCCACACATTTTTGAAACACCCGATATGTTTATAGGAAAGTTTTATCTTAAAATTGAATATTTTATCACCTGGTTAAATTACGCCACTATAGACATAATTATGTCTGTACAAAACAAAGATTCTACAATTCAAATTGTAGTCTTATAAATTAAACAATTTTTATAGAAATATTTGAACTCGAAGATCAAAAAATCGGGACTTAGGGTTCTTGATTTAAAGTGTTTTTATTTGTTTAATCAAAATTTCGTTTTTGAGTTTGTATTTCCTTCAATATTTTTTTTTCTAAATATAAACCTTTAATGACAACTAACACTTAATAAATACAATATAAACAAACATGAACCATTATTACTACACTCTAAAATTACAATTTTTTATGTTGGCATTTGTTAAATTAAAAAATATCATAATTAAAAACACAAAACGGTAGACCCGTTTCGGATAATCGAAATTACGTTTAAACTGGTAAAAATCCTATCTTAATACAGGGTGTTTCACATAACTTTACGAGGCTTGCGCCTAATGTACGCACCCAAATATACAAAAGTCACAGAACGCTGGATACAAAAAACACACATTTAATTATTTAATTTTTGGAAACCCATGACAGTAGTTGTCAAACTAATCACTGTTTCATTAATAGTCATAAACTGCAGTTTTTCAGAAACAATTATCATTTGTCCTATCAAGAGACGGCATGAATATGATTCTAGTTTACCTATCTCAATTACTAACTAACTAAAAACGTTGTAATTATTTAAAGGGTGAACAAATTAGAGAAAATTATTTAATTTTTCAAAATTTGTAATCGATTTCGTATCGGAATATGTATTATTGATTGCATCTTACAGGCGCAGGCCTCGTAAAATTACGTGAAACACCCTTAATATACAGTCTGTTTCCTCTAGTAATTAAAGCCATTTTAACCATTTTACGTTTCGATTTTTTTTATTTAAACCGTCATCAAAGAAAATTGCAATTGAGTGCAATAATATACTCCTACTTAATAACGAGTGTTTCCTCCTCTCTCTCTTAAAACAGCTTCAGGTCTTCTGGACATTGACTCAAGTCCTGCTGTGGTAATTCTTCCCAAATGTGATTCACTATTGGAAAAATCTGTGCAATATGCCTTATAGGCACTCTACTATGTTGTATTTCCCATCCTATGTGGTCCCAAACATGCTCAAGACTAACAGCAGGCCAATTCATTGTGACAACCTCTCTGAGGTAATTTTGCACAACATGAGCAACATGTAGACACGCACGTTGTCGTGCATTGAAACAAAATTGTCGCCAATGTAAGGAACGTAAAGTACTACATGGGGTTCCAAAACGTCTTCTATGTATCGATTAGCTGTCATTCTGCCTTGGTTTACTTTCACTAGCTCAGTGTGTCCATGGTAAGAAATTCCTCCCCATACCATTGTAGACCTTCCTCCAAACGTTACGGTTTGTCGAAAAGTACACTGCAAGTGGCGTTCACCCGGGCGTCTGCCTGATGCATCTAAGCAATATCTCGACTCATCTGTGAAAAAGACATTCGACCATTCTTCCATTCCCCAATGAAGATGCTCTCTGACAAACTGAACTCGCGCAACTCGGTTTTCTCTGGTAAAACGTGGACTTTTTGCTGGGACATAAGGTTGAATTGCGTTTTCTCTAAACCGAATACTGATGGTTTGAAAAGACAAATGTACCTCACGCGCTGATAAAAGTTCATTTTGAAGCAGACATGCCGTTGTCTTAGTGCTGTAACTCGCAAAAATCTGTCATCTACATTGGTTGTAAACCGGTGGCGACTATGTCCTTTTCTTCTTGATAATGCACAGTTTCTCTATAATGTCTTAACAAGCCGAGAAATGGTACTACTTTGTATGTGGATGTCAGGACCGAAAAGAGACTAAATACAACCATATCTAAATATTTTGTACAAAATTAAAGTAAAAGTGGATATCCTACATCCAGATAATATTTATATGACTCAAGATAAGGGTAAAATGTCAATTTCAAATATTTTTGGATAACCATTTTAAAACACCTAACAATTTTAGAATTATGCGAT